GGAGGAGGAGGAGGAGCTGCGGTTCGCCCGCTCGACCCCGCCGCCCGGGCCCGCCGCCCCACCCGCCCGCCGGGGCCCGCCCGCCGGGGCCCGCCCGCCGGGGCCCGCCCGTCGGGCCCTGCCGCTCGCCTTCCTGCTCCTGGCCCTCCTGCTGCCGATCTCTCTCGGAGAAAAAACACAAAAAACACAGTCCGTGGGGGAAAAAACATACAAACAATAACAAAAACACAAAAAACTCAAAAACAAGAAACACATCACAAACACACAAAAAACACAGCTCCATCGATCTCTCTTCTTCCCCGTCGTCGCCTCTCGCCATCCGTGCCCTCGTCCCCCGCTTCTGGCTGCTGCGCCAGATGCGCGTGGCGGGTAGAAGAAGCCATGCCCCCCTGAGGGGATGCGATCCACGACGACGAGGGCGGGTATCGAGGGTTTGGGATATGAATGGCACGCGAGCAGATAAGAGCGACAAGTCTCAAACTAATTATTGCTGTTGTTATTTGTTCGTTTATGTGTCCGTTTGCTTGCTTGCTCGTTTTTTTTTTTTTTTTTTTTTTTTTTTTTGTTTGTTTTTCGTTTTTTTTTTTTTTTTTGGGGGGGGGGGGGGGAGGGGTTGTTTTGTTTGTGCGCGTAGTTGTCTGTTTGTTTGGTTGTTTGTTTGTTCGTTTATGTTTTGTTTGCTCGCTTGCTCGTTTGTTCGTTTTTGTTGGTTCGTGTTTTGTTTGTGTGAGTAGCTGTTTGCTTGCCCATATTTTTTCAAAGTCCTATGTACAAGGAAAAAAACTGCCCTGTCTGCGGAACCGCCGTGGGGGCACGCACTGCACGGGCCCCTCCGCGCCCAGCCTCCCCGAGCCGTGCTTCCCACTGGAGGCTCCTGCCCCTGTCGCCAGGGCATTGCGCGGGGCGCGCGCGAGGCTCTCCCACGTGGGCCGCCCGTGGCCGCCTCGTGGCCGCCCCGTGCGCTGGGCGGGCCCCCGGCGAGGCCCCGCCGCGGTGCCGCCCGTGGCTGCCCGTGGGCGCCTCGGGGCCGCTCGCACGGGGCGCCCTGCGCCCCGGAGGTTGGCGCGGGGTCCGCCGAGGTTTCGCCCGGCGCCCGCCAGCGGGGAGGAGGAGGAGGAGGAGGAGGAGGAGGAGGAGGAGGAGGAGGAGGAGGAGGAGGAGGAGGAGGAGGAGGAGGAGGAGGAGGAGGAGGAGGAGGAGGAGGAGGAGGAGGAGGAGGAGGAGGAGGACGTGGCCGCCTCGTGTCTCTCGACGAGACGTAAGAGTGACCTTTCGCCGGAGTGACCTTTGGTGCGGGCACAGATGGGCCCCCAGATGGCCGAACGCGAAGCGGTGTAGCGGCTAGCGCGCTTGGATCTGGCCTCACCGCGGCCCCCCAAAAGCCGCGCACCAAAGGTCACTCTTACCCAGGGTCACTCTTACGTGTAGCCGAGTCTCTGGGTGGGCACCACGGCTCGCACAGCATGCAGGCGGCCCGGATGAGGAGGTCGACCCTGCCAGAGCAAGGGTACCCTCGTGTCCTGCGTCTCGCGACCCACGCTTCCGACATTCCTGTGGCAGTGTGGCCCTCGGAAGGGTCTTGTGTCTCTCCGCGCGTCCTGTCCAATCGAGTCCGACTGTAGCTTGCACCGGGTGGCTTGCAAAACGCAGCTCGCACCGCACTCGTTCAGCATCGTTTATCCGACCCCCATCCCCATCCCCATCCCCTTCGAGGCCCCTACCAAATTGCCCCCCCAGTTGGGGATGCACCCCTCGAAACCCGAAGGGAACGACCTGTATCCCCATCTAGGGGGGTAAATCGGCCAGTGGGGCCCAGTCCACGCCGCTGGGGATGGGAATCGGTTAAACGATACTCACACGTCAAGTCGCATAGCCTACGCGCAGCTCGCACCACGTGGCTTAAACCGCATAGCTCGCACCGCATAGCTTGCACCACGCAGCTCACGCAACACGGACAACAACACCACATGGCTTACTCCGCATAGCCTTCACCTCCACTGTGCAATCGCTCACTGTTTGGGGTCCACGCTGATTCATACTGCGGGGGTTTCTCAAATGAAATGCTGGGTTTGGCTCCGTCACGCTCCCCTCGTATTAGAGCCCCATGATCATTTGGATGTAGCAGACATAGCCCTTGGGTGCCTCAAATTGGAGTCGATCGCGCGTGTATCACAGGCCTGTTCGCGCCCCGATTTGGGCTCCTTCGCGAGTAGAGCGCTTGTTTGGGACCCCCACATTTTTATCCTTTCAGAGCCCCAGGATCACCGTGGTGTAGGAGGCACGGTACTTGTGCGCCCCGAGGGGGAGTCAACCAGGGGTGTATCGAAGGCCCCATGGCTTGCCCAAGGTCACACTCGCTTACAGCCAGATCCACTCGTACATAGTCAACCAGCCTTGATCGTACTGAGAGACTCATACGCGGGGAACTTGCCAGACAAAAGTGATGCGCAGATGGGGATCTCCGCGTCGAACGGGTATGGCGAGACCCGGAGTCGCCAACAACAGTGATCTCCCAGATGCCAGGTCGAAGATGTTGCAAAGAAGTGCCCAGGGCGGTTTCAACGCCAGCCAAGCGAATCTGGGACGCGCCGGGCCGTGTGCGCTTCCCGGCGCTCGTGCAGCAGTGGTACCGCGACTGCGACGCGGTGCTCCTGCTGTTCGACGTGTGCGGGAGCGCGTCCTTCCAGGGCGTCCCCGCGTGGCTGGACGAGGTGGAGCGGTACGTCCCGGAGGGCACCCCCGTCTGCCTCGTGGGCAGCAAGGTCGACGCGGCGGAGAGCAGGGTGGTGTCCTCCAGCGAGGCGCTGGCGCTGGCCGAGGCCCGCGGCGCGCGCTACCACGAGGCGTCGGCCAAGACGGGGGCGGGCGTCCAGCAGCCCTTCCACGCCGCCGTGGAGGCGCTGCTGGACCGGGCCGAGCGCCTGCCGCCCGAGCCGCCCGCGCCGGCCCGCGCGTGGTCGCGCTGCGCCGTCGCCTAGGCTTCGCGCGGCCTTCGCGGCGCCCCTCGCGCGGGTCTTTTTCTTCCTGGGCGCGAGGCGCCGAGCCCCGGGAATTGGAGGGGGGCGCCTTCGGCTGGGCTCCCCTCCGCCGCCAAGCAGCGCAGCGCAGCGGAGGGCCCGGCGAGCTGCGCCGCAGGGTGCCTGCGCGGCCAGGGCCGTGCCCCCCAGCGGCTGGTCGCCGGTGCGCCCCGTGCGCCCAGAGGGCGGCGGCGCGGCGGGGGCAGGCGAGGACCGCACCTGCCTCCTCGATCGGGGGCGGCCAGGGGGGGGGCGATGACTATGACTACCTACCCGACCACCCCAACCCAACCCGAAGACCTGAATTTCGGGTTGGGGGGGGGTACGGCTTCCACATGTATTTTCTCGATGTGCCCCGAGCCCCCCCACTGGAAATGGAGGCCAATTTGAGGCCTTCGGGTTGGGTTGGGGTGGTCTGGTGGGTGGTGAGACTAGGGGGGGGGGTGGCTGTCATGGCGGGGGCCACGGTAGCTCCCCAGATTTCATATGGCGCTTCCGCCTCTTCTCATTTCAGTGCGTCCCTGGGCCCCCCCCCCCCCCCCCGGCCGCGCACATGCCGCCGGCCAGGATCTGCGCCCCCCCTCTTGGACGCCCCCCTCTTGGCCGCCCCCGAATCGAGCATGCTCGACGAGGCCGTGGCCAGTTCTTGTGAGCCCGGGTGGGCCGAGCTGGAACTCTGGAGCGCTGCCGCGCGCGTGGGATCCGTGGACGCCTCCCGCGCGGGCAGACGCCCTTCACCCGGGCTCATCGACGCTGCCCTCGCCGTGGCGAGCGGGAGGTCGGGTGGCCAGACACGGCTGTGCTCTCGCACGTCGGCTTCGTCATGTCGGTGATGTCCAAGGGTCAGTTCCAACTGTGAGCTCGGGCTGTTCTGTTCTGACGGGGGAGCCATCGCTACGATACCGCTGAGAGTAAGACGCGGCTTCGTTTAGGAGTTTAGGAGTGAAAGAGAGAGAGAGAGAGAGAGAGCGAGCGCTGCTCCGACTCGAGGCGTTGGTGCGGGCGCTTCGACAGCAGCCGTGCCTGCGACAGACCCCCTAACGAGCCATTGTCGCAAGGCGTGCCCGCGCGAACCCGCACTCGGTTGACCTCGCACTTGAACCGAATCTCTTCACCCTTGAGAAATAGGGGTTCGTGATTTACTCGCTGCGCAGAGGCGGGACCGCGGGGTCCTTCACGAGAATTTGTCACCTCTTTGGGCGACGGGTCTGAACTGAGACGGCTTGGCTGTACGCCATTACACTAGCGGCTGACGGTGTAACATTCATATTGCTGAACAAGCCAAAGGAGATGAGGAAAGGAGGCGTTATGTTTTTGAAGTCATGGCCTGAGTAATTCGGCTTGGGTTTGTCAGGTACATCACCGAAGCTGTTTTACCACCCGGCGGGGGTGCTGACAAAAAGTGAGAATCGTCCATCGTCTGCATGATGATTTTGTGAAGGGAAACGAGGATGAGGAGTAGCGGCAGGAGGTTGCTGAGGAGTAGCAGGCGGACAACGATGGCGTGGATAAGGGGCAGAAGGAGGAGGAGGAGGAGGAGGACGAGAAGCCGAAAACACGAGATAACGATGTTTATGATAATGCTGACGCTGCTGAGGATGAGCACGATAACACAGGCGACGACGATTATGATGAGGATGACGATGACGATGACGATGATGATGATGATGATGATGATGATGATGATGATGATGATGCTGTTGATGATGATGATGATGATGACGATGATGATGATGATGATGATGACGATGATGATGATGATGATGATGATGATGGTGATGATGATGATGATGATGATGATGATGATGATGATGGTGATGGGACTGATGATATTAATGGTGATGATTATGAAAATGATGCTGATGACGAGGAGGATGATGAACATGATGATGATTATGCTGGTGGTGGTGGTGGTGGTGGTTGTGGTAGTGACGATGATGATGGTGGTGATGATGGTGGTGGTAATGACGTTGATGATGGTGATGAGGGTGATGATGCATATTGTGCTGATGCTGTTGAAGGCGTTGTTGTTGATAAGGACGGTGGTGGTGATGATGATGGCGATGGTGATGCTGATGATTATGATGACGATGATGCTGCTGATGATGATGCTGATGCTGATGATGATGATGATGATGATTATGATGAGTACGATGGTTATGATGCTACTGGCTCTGATGATGATGCTGACGCTGATGATGATGATGGTGCTGATGATCATGATGAGGTTGCTGCTGATGATGGTGATGTTGGTGATGATGATACTGACGGTTATGACAATGATTCTGATGGTGATGATGATGCTGCTGCTGCTACTGATGATAACAATTTGGATTACATTGAGTATGATGATGGTGATGATGTTGATGCTGGCGATGCTGGTGGTGATGATGTTGATGCTGGCGATGCTGGTGGTGATGATGATGACGATGCTGGTGATGGTGATGGTGCTGCTGCTGATGTTGATGTTGATGTCGATGTTGATGTTGATGATGATGATGCTGATTCGGACGATAATGATTGGTGGTGGTTGTGGTGGCGGGGTGATGATGACGATGAGGTTTATCATGATGATGGTGATTAAGATGATGATGCTGATGATGATGCTGATGATGATGATGATGATGATGATGATGATAATGGCGGTGCATACTATGCTGACGATGCTGAAGGCGATGCTGTTGATGATCATGGTGATGACGATGATGCTGATAATGCCTATGATGCTGATGCTGGTGGTGTTGGTGGTGATGATGCTGCGGCTGCTGATGATGATGGTGAGGATGCTGCAGCTGATGGTGATTCTAACGATGATGATGTTGATGATGATGATGCTGCTGCTGATGATGATGATGATGATGATGATGAAGATGATGATGATGATGATGATGATGTTGACGATGATGCTGATGAAGAATAATAGTAATAGTAATGTGAGGAAGTCGCACATATTGCGCGAACGCAGGTTTAGCGACAGGCGCCGTTCCATCCGAACACCCCCTCGTCCCGCAGTTTCCCGCAGTTGATCAGGCCTCGGACGGCCACTGCCTGATGAGTACGACAGGCGGTTTGCTGGCGGCGTTGTCTTCCACATGCAAAGTGCAGGCACACTACCTGGCGCAGTCTCGCTTGGCGCATGATGCACTATAGCCCCCTCGCTGCCACGGCGGAGTTTTTTTCTTGTTTTTTTGAAACAAAAAATAAGTTGGCGTACTCGAGTTTCGACGCGGTCACGCTGGTGGGCACCCAACGAAGAACCGAGAAGATAATGGAGCAGTCTCGAAGTTGTCGACGCTGGCGTATTGATGCTGGTTGGCCCGCGGGCTCCATGACTAACAACTCCACGGGCGAGCTGATTTTTTGGCCAAGATACGACGACAAAAACATTCACGCAGAGTACAAGTACCCAGCACATCTCGCTGGACGTGGATTCGCAGCGCGCGTTGCCTCTGGATCGTGGTACTGCACAACGATTGGAGCATACTATCCACCACGACTTACCACGGTGAAAGCGCCGCAGGTTCATGAGAAGACTGTTGCAGCATTGACGGGCTGGATAGATCATATTATGAGCTTCTACTCTTTCTCTCAGCGTTCCAGTTTTGGGTGTGGATTTCAAAAGTGTGTTTGGAAACGATTGCGATTTCGCGAAAGGTGGTGGAGTCTTGATATATACATCGGCAGTACTACCAGCGGGCGCCCGATGAGAGCATTCGGCGGGCCGAATGTTTCGCGAGACTCTCGAGAATAATTTGTTTATGAGTTCCATCGGCGGAGTGCAGCGTGGTATGGCGCGGGAGGTAAATCATCGATCGTGGGTTACATGGCCATATTCAGACACTGGCGCAACTGAGTGACGCCAGCGGCCCCCACTCCGTCTGGGACGCCGACTCCAACTCGTACATGAGAAATTTCGTAGAGACCGCATTCCTCTGCATGTGCACTTTCGCCTACGTGGTGCACGTGACCTACGTGCAGCCATATGCATACGAGGGGATATGGACAAGCTTATGGAGTCTCTCTCTCTCTCTCTCTCTCTCTCTCAGGAGATGACGCAGGCATCTCACACGCAGGCGTTTTCTATGACGATCCAAAACGCCCGCAGCGAAAGTAACGACGCGAAGTTCCATTGCAAAACAGGTCGGAGGATTGGGCAACGTTCGATACGGATATCAGCGAACGGGATATGGACGAACTGGAAGTAGAGCTGAAGGCCCCATCTCGAATCATTGGGGGGTGTCGTTTTCCGATGATGGCAAATATTTCAGGGCAAGTGCTTTCGATTCTGTGTGGGAAGCGTGGAACAAACGACGCCGCGCTGAGGTACATCGACTATCACGAAGAGCGGCGGCAGGAACCAAGTTCGGCACTACTCGCCGCCATCACCTCGCAGTACGTACGGCTCACTTTGCCAGCGAGCAGGTGCTGTAGTAATGGGGAATTCCTGGTCACCAGGGCGGAATGGGTACACGACGACTGTGCAATTGACAAGCGTGGAGGGATTAGCGCGCAGATGTGGCGGCAGCGGCGGTGCTAGACGAGACCCACAAGAAGGTGACGAAGGTTGATTTTCGCCGAGTACAGCGACACTTGGGCAGAGCATCGGAGTGGCGTGCATTGCCACCGTGGTCAGCACAATCGGAGCTTCTCGCGCTACTCATGGGCAGTGGATCCCAATTTCCAGTGGATGTAGCGCCTGCAGGCCGAGTACTTGGACTCGGGCTCCAGATGCGCGAGGTACTCCTTTTTTCGCCGAGCAATGTAACATGGGTTCGGCACAATACGTAGGTGTGGGTGCATCCTTATTTATTGGCGTACGAATCAAGGCATGTCGTGGCCCAGGAAGACCAAAGGCGTCATGGACATCGGAGACGCAGCATTTGGGCTTCGAAAGATACATCTCCTCGCCCTTCTTGGCATGGCATGCGGGCAGCTCGTCACTACCGCAGACAACTTGTTCATTGCGTGGATTCTTTAGAGAATGTTGCAAGAGTAACTAATGTGGTTATCACAATTAATGCTACCTTATTTCGGCAGCCTCGGGTGGACGGAGCTCGACGGTGTGAGCGTGGAGCTTTTGCGAGGAGATCTTGGGGAGTTTGGACAGCAACGACATCATAGGGCTGTCATATCTCCACCGAATCAGCAGGGCCCGCCCACCTTGCTGCAGCCAGCTTGTGGTGCACTCATGGGTGATTCACATGTGGTGCGTCTTTTTGTCTTGGGGGTCTTGGGAGCTTCTTTTGGGGCCTCTTGGGCCTTGGGGTGCTCTTTGGGGGCTCTGGGGGCTTCCTGGGAGCCTCTTGGGGCCGAGAGTTCGACATGGCTGTTCGGGTTCCCCCTTGGGGCCCCGTCTTGGAGTCATCCTGGGGCCGTCTTGTAGGCCTCCTTGGGCCGTCTGAAGGCCATCTTGGGGCCGTTTTGGAGGCTTCTGGGACCGTCTCGGAGCGATCGTGGGACGTTTTGGGCCGTCCAGGGTGGCCGGCAGCTCGAGAAGGCGGTACCGCCCAACTCTCCCGAAAACCCAAGCGACATTTTTTTTCATCGTCGGGGCTTCTCGAAGTCCTCTTGGGACCCTCCTGGAGCTTCTTCGGCGCTTCGTGGGCCGTCTTGGGGCCAACGTGGTCCATCTTGGAACTCTCTTGGCCCGAGGCCGTGGGGCGTGCCACCTTTTTGGTGCCTTATTGGGGCGCTCGGGGGGCCCCCGAGGCCGCGCCCAAGAGTCCTGGCATCTCTGGCCCGGCCCTGCCTGGACATTGCTGGGGCTGCTGGGACCTTGCGGGACCTTGCCTGGACCTTGCCGGGGTATTTTTCGTCCAGGGAGCCCCAGGGGCTGCCATGCGCGCGTGCGAATTAGAAACATTATCTGGCCCGTTGGGCCGGATAATTGCACAATCGCTGATGCTTCCTGCTCTTCCTCCTCCTACCTCTTCCTGCTCCTCCTCCTCCCTCCTCCTCCTCCTCCTCCTCCTCCTCCTCCTCCTCTTTCTCCTCTCCTCCTCCTCCTCCTCTCCTCCCTACCCCCTCCTTCCTCCCCTACCTCCTCCCTCCCTCCTCCTCCTCCTCCTTCCCTCCTCCCCCCTCCCCCATCCTCCTCCTAGTCTTCCTCCCTCCTCCTCCTCCTCCTTCCTCCTCCTCCCCCCTCTTCTTTCCTCCCCCCTCCTCTTCTTTCCCCCCGTCCTCCTCCTCCTTCCTTCCTCCTCCCTCCCCCGCCCTTCTGCTTCTCCTCGCCCTCCCCAGGATAGGGGGCAGAGCGGG